ATCCTAAGATTAATAATAGGATTATTAAAACAAGTAGCAAGTAATATGAGTAGACTAAATACTCACTGTTTATAGTTGGGAAATAATAGATAATATCCAAAGTTGATAAGTCAAAAACTACCAGTAAAACATAAACATTTAACCTGGGGAAAACTGATTTAGGGATGGAGTAGGGGATTCTGCTTTTCATTTTATGTCCATTCTCTAATATTTAATTTTTTCCATACATGTGTATTTATTACATTGATTTTAAACAGAGAGATTAATAGACAATAGGAAAAGAGGGAGGGAGAGAAACCTACATACCTAGAGGTTATCACTGCATAATGAACTTTCAGATGGTTTCTTTCTTCGTTACACCTGTCTGTATGGCTGACAATCTTTTTATAATTATAACATGAAAATAAAGCCAGTTTCCCTCTGAAGGACCAGAAAATCTCAAATTTTAAAAAACCAAGTGAATTACTTCAAATCAGTTGAAGTACTTTATTGCCTACCAGAAAATAACATCTGGCAGTGTTGGAGCTTTCTGGTGGGAAAACACTTCAAAATGTCAAAGTACTATTAACTTCTTAGTTTGGATCACTATATTATACTGAATACAAACCACTGTTGTTTCAGTTGATGAATTCTGGAGAGTCCTTAGTCTCAAAGTGCCATGTAGGACTGAAGAATACTTCCCTATAGTTGAGCAGAAAGTTCTCACAATAATAAAATTACTGTCAAATGTCACTGAGTTCTTTGCAATTATTGTGGGAGTAAAGAAATCCTAAAAATACCCCTATGGTAGTATCTTTACAGTTTGTACTGACATAAACTCTTTTGGGATTCTTCTCTAAGATGAAGTCTACACCCATAATTATGTCATCATGTATGCAGAAGTGTCATTTTTGCTCAGTTCTTGTAATTTGTTTATAAGCCTGGAAGAGCAATAGCTAATGGTGATGGCCAGAGCCATCTGCCACTTAGATACTGGTGTTCCCACTAGAACTGTGATGTTGGTTCATCTATATCCTAAATTAGGTGTGTAGAGAAAAAAATACATGCCTGTAAGAATGCATTTTATAGCGAGCAGAGTGTTGTTCCAGAAACTAGTCATCAGGTTATCTTGGCCATTGTAAATTCAGTACATCTGGGAATTATTCTCAGGAAAACATTGGGTAGATGCTCTAACTACTGGCTTGGACTTTGTTTGATTACTGCAAATACTGGAAAAAAGTAAAGCACATATGAAGCTCTAGTGTATAATCTACCAAGTTAATTCCATGATACATGATGGTGAAACCTTGATCAGGAGTCCTTACTGAGTTTGTAAGATTATATTAATGGTTTATGGTAGACTCCTTCACAAATGGCAATGAAATATTCACAATTCCCCTATTGCTTTATTCCTAAGTCTGGGCCAGATATTTGCAATCAACTAATGCTGTGTGTGTATGCATTTTTTTCCTTATTTAAATTTAGGATTCTCTAAGAACCTTGCTTGCATAAATATAGTGAAATAGTTAAAAGTAGGGATTTTGAAGTCAGACATATCTGGGTCTGAATCCTTCAAGCTCGAATTGTTAGATAACCTTCATCAACACAGTCATTGTGAACCTCAGTTTTCTTATCTATAAAAAAAGGAATGAAAGCACAACTCAGAGAGTTGTAAAATTAAATATGATAGTTTATATAAATCACCTAGTGCAGTGGTTCCCAAGTTGTATACACATTGGATTCTCCTGGGGAGCTACAAAAGACCTACGGGTTCCTATGTTCCATCCCAAGAGACTGATTTAATGGGTCAGAGGTGTGGCCTGAGTTTTGAAATTTTGTAAAGGTCTCTAGGTGACACTAACATACAAACAGGTTTGGAAACCACTGACCTAGTGCATAGCAACACCAGCATAAGGTGCATATGGCCTAAGTGTTTTATAAACATTATCTAACTTAATATTTGTAATAATCCTAAGAGGCAAACACTATATAATCCCCAATTTCCAGATGATAAACTGGGGTTTAGAGATATTTGATAACATAATCAAGGCCAGGTAATTATTACAAAGCAGAATCAATATTTAAACCCAGTTTGCCTGAATCCAAAGCCAAGCCCTTAGTTGTAATGCTATCTAGTCCCAAGCAAATTTCCTATCCGTAACTTTCCAACCCAATTGAGGTATGGTATTTTGACAATCTCAGTTTTGGGGAAAAAAAGAAAGAAGAAAACACACAAAAAAGAACCCCTCCAGAGTTGTGAGTAAACACTCAAAAAATCATAGAAACAACTGCTTTGTCTCAAGCAAATGGTCAGACTGAAAGCATGGTATAACTGCTGAGGATTATTGCAGGAAATGGGATAATAAAGGTTAGCTATGTTTCTCATCAATAAACATATCATTCCATGTTAGACAATAGTTCTTAGTCCTGCTGAATTTTAGTTTTTTTAATTTTTTTTAAAGATTTATTTATTTTAGAGAGTGAGAGTGTGTGAGCAGGGGGAGAGGGAGAAAGGGAGTCTCAAGCAGACTCCCCACTAAGCGTGGAGCCTGATGTGGGGCTTGATCCCACCACCCTGAGATCATGACCTGAGCCAAAACCAAGAGTTGGACACTCAACTCACTCAACTGACTGAGCCATCCAAGTACCCCAGTCCTGCTGAATTTTTTAATAGAATTTTGCATGAAAACTCACTCCAGCTTCCTTCTAAATGGATCAAGGACTCAAAAGACAAAGATGTCTTTTGGAAGTTATACTCAGCACTTACTTTTCACTTATCTATACTACAATAATTAGCCTTTGTCAAAACTAGATTGATGTGAATTTCAGCCACAATAATTGAAACATGGTCTATGTTCAGTAAAGTCCAAGATGCAAGTGAAATGATAAAGCATTACCATATTACTGTGAGCATATCCTTCACAGAACCATCTTGAACTGGATTTTTTTACTCCAGCTTCTCAGAACAGGCTAGAATAACTGAGAAACTTTTTAAAAAACAAAAAATCCCTACAAAACAGCTATTCTCTGTCATGACACCTGCGTTGTCTGGGTACCCAACTGAAGAAAAAGAACAAAATTAGAGGACAAATACTGTCTGATTTCAATACTTATTATAAAACTACAGTAATTAAGACTGATGTATTGGCATAAAGATAGACAATGGAACAGAATAGAGAGCCCTGATATAGACCCACACATGTCTAGACAACTGATTTTTGACAAAAGTACAAAGGCAATTCACTGGAGAAAAAGTAATCTTTTCAACAAATGATGCTGGAATATTTGTATGTCCATATTAAAAAAAAAGAGAGAGAGAGAACTTCAACCCATACCTCTTACCACATACCAAAATCAACTCAAAATGGACCATAGATTTAATGTAAAAATCTAAAACTATAGAATCTGAAAAACAACATGAGAGAAAATCTTTGAGACCTTGGGTTTAGACAAATATTTCTTAATTACAGCACCAAAGACAATCCATAAGAGAAAAAAAACCAATAAATTGGACTTCATCAAAATTTGAAAGCTTAGTTCTTCAAAAGATCCTACAAAAGAATGAAAAGACAATCCACAGATTGGAGAAAACATTTGCAAATCATAGATCTGATATAGAACTTGTATCCACAATATATAATGGACTTTCAAAACTCAATAATAAGAAAACAACTCATTTTTTTTTAAAGGGAGCAAGTGGTTTGAACAGACACCTCACCAAAAAGATATATGATAACAAATGAGTATGTGAAAGGATGCTCAGTGTCATTTGTCATTAGGTAAATATAAATTAAAACCGCAATGAGATACTACTACACATCTAACGAATGGCTGAAATTAAAATAACTGACCATACCAAGTATTAGCAAGGATGTGGAACAACCAGAATTCTCATTCACTGCAGGTAGAAATAGACGTGTTTCAGCCCTTCAGAAAAAAGCTGGACAGCATCTTAAAAAATTAAATACACACCTACTGCATGATTTAGCCATTCCACTCCTAGGTATTTACCCAAGAGAAATGAAAATAGACATCCATAAAAAGATTTGAATACAAATATTCATAGCAGTTTTATCTACAATAGCCCCAAACTGGAAAACATCCCAAATGGGTGATTGGATAAGCAAATTATGGTATATCCATGCAACATCCAACATAGAGCATGGATAAATATCAGAATAATTATGCTGAGTAAAAGCAGCCAAGAAAAAAACAAATACATGCTGTATGATTCCATTTATATAAAATTGTAGAAGATGAAAACTAATATATACTGACAAAAAGTAGACCAGCGGTTACCTAGACTAGGGTAGGGGAGGTAGGAGGGATTAGAAAAAGACACAAGAAAACTTTTGGGCATAATAAATATGCTTATTACCTTAATCGTGGTGTGATTTCAAAGGGGTATGCAGGTGTCAAAACTTGGACGTTTTATTAAATATGTATAGTTTTTTATATCAATTATATCTCAATAAATCTATTGAATATACAAATTTTTAATAAGCTCTTCTCTTCTTGTTTAAAGACTTCATTAGCTAAATAGAAAAGCATTACATATGATCATGATATTTTTATTTTATAATTGTTTCTTTTGATTACATGCTGCAGTGATTTCTGATAGGGTTAAGTTTCATTTTCCAGTAATAAAAGACTATCTTTTTTAAAAGCCAGTTTTATTGTTTAAAGACAGCACAAATATCTTAATTAATTGTCTGGATGAAAATAAAAACTCCTTCTACCTCAAAAAGAAATTAGGAGTATCATGGATTAGAGAAAGTTGTACAAAATTTTACAATATGATTGCTTTTGAAATTTAAAAACTGGAGAGCATATTCAATAGTTTGCAGATTTATCTCATGTACCCTGATCCATTTGTTAACAGGCAATTATGAGAGCACATTGCTGGTGAGAATATCCGTTTTCATAACTAAAAATATATCTGCCACACTTAAGTACATTTAATTTCTGAGCATCAATTTGCTGAAGCTTTTGTTTGTCTTTTTCTCCTTTCTTCTCCAAAGGTAAATGGCATGGAAGAGTCTTTAGAGACGAAGTTGCATTTCAACAAGCTGGTTTTGGGATTTGTTCATGTCCTGTGCTTGCAGTTATTTATTGCTTTATAAAGGTTATAGGTAGGTAAATATAACTAAAGGTCGATGAAACAGAACATTTTACAGAACACCGCATTCGCTTAACACATCTGAACTTCTAGCATTTAAAATTATTTTCAAGAATGTATCTATTAGAATTATGACAACTGAAATATTAATGACATATCCATATAGATAGGAATAGATGGGTTTTATTTTTTTTAAATACTTTTCTTTTTTAGATTTTATTTATTTATTTTTTTTTTAAAGTAATCTCTACACCCAATATAGGGCTTGAACTTACAACCCTGAGATCAAGAGTTGCATGCTCAGGGGCATCTGGGTGGCTCACTCTGTTAAGCATTTGACTCTTGGCTCTTGATTTTGGCTCAGGTCATGATCTCAGGATTGTGAAATTGAGGCCCTGGTCAAACATGCACTGGGTGTGGAGCCTGCTTAAGATTCTCTCTGTCCCTCCCCCAGCTCCAAAGAAAAAAAAGAAGAAAGAGTCACATACTCTACTGACAGAGCCAGCTAGGCACCCTGGAATAGCAGATGTTTTGTTTTGTTTTGTTTTTAAAGATTTCTTTATTTTGAGAGAAAGAGAGAAAAAGGGAGAGAGCGCACGTGTGAGCAGGGGGAGGGGCAGTCAAGCAGACTCCTCACTGAGCACAGGGCTTGATCTCACAACCCTGAAATCATGACCTGAGCTGAAACCAAGAGTCTGATGCTCAACCATCTGAGCCACCCAGGTGCCCCAAATAAACAGTTTTTAAATGTCTATAGAGAAGACTCCACAACTTTGCTTTTGTAATCTATTTTGTGGTAACTTTACCTTCAAACCAGGACTAAAAGTAAATTCTAGCTTATTCAGAATTTTGATGAATGACGTATTAATAACTAACTTAATATACTGGTTAATAGAGTTGCTCTATGTAGTATACCTGGATTTCCAATTTATAAAAGAAATATGTTATAATGAAATACACAAAAACGAGGCCCTAGAATACCTAAAACAATCTTTAAAAAAGAAGAATCAAGTATGAGGCATCACTCTTCCTGATATTAGGGCCATTTATATAGTGACAGTAATCAAGGCAATAGGGTATTGGTGGAGGAAAAGATGGATAGATCAATGGAAAAGAAGAGAATCCAGGAAGAGACCTATACTCTATCAATGTCAATATCCTGGTTGTCATATTATATGATCGTTTTGAAAGATGTTAACACTGGCTGGAACTGGGAAGTGTACAAGGGATTTCTCTAAATTATTTCTCACAAGTGCATGTGAATCTACAGTTATCTCAAAATTATAAGTTTAGTTTTAAAAGTAAAATAATAGCAAATGGAATGGAATATAATTACTCTGTTTTATTTTAAAATTAAATACAGGATTTTACAATTCTTGGTGGTTTTATTATAAAGATGAGTTACCACATATAAAGAGTAGAAAAAAACAAGTCATTATTTGAAAATTTTAGTTAATTAGATTTTCTTTCTTTTTTTTAAAGATTATTTATTTATTTGACAAAGAGAGATACAGCAAGAGAGGGAACAAACACAAGCAGGGGGAGTGGAAGAGGGAGAAGCAGGCTTCCCGCAGAGCAGGGAGCAAGGAGCAGAGAGCCCGATGCGGGGCTCGATCCCAGGACCCTGGGATCATGACCTGAGCCGAAGACAGACGCTTAAAGACTGAGCCACCCAGGCACCCCTAGTTAATTTGATTTTCAATGACTAGGCTTTAATTGTACACAGAATTGCAGTAATAGAGATATCTGAGAGTTCTGTAACCTTTTCCAGGTGTCAGGAAGATAAGCCATAAGCAACTTATCAACCCAGAAAGCTGTCGGCCTCCAGGCATGACCTGGGTCTAGGCCACCTGATTGGTTCCCATGTAATGCAATAAAAAAAGGATGTTCTCATCAGCACATCAGAATACTTAAATTTTGCCTGTGAGTATCTGTTTCACAATCTTGAAATATATAAGCAAGAATACATAAAATTGGAGTACAACATTAAAATACTTGTATGAAGTTATTTTTGCACAGTATCTTTGTAAGTAATCCAACCTATGATATTATAATGGATGTTATAATTGTGAAAGTTTGTTTCGTTTTGTTTCCCTAAAGCATGGTCTTTCCTATGTTTTTAGAAGAGATTAACATTATAAGAGTGAGCTGGTAAAAATGTAATACATTTTGAATTAGATACATTTTCAAACATAACCTCACAAGCTGTTAGAAGTGTATGGATTGTTGAAAATGTTTCATAAAATGCTTTATCAAAACAAAATTGGGGCACCTGGGTGGCTCAGTCGTTAGGCGTCTGCCTTCGGCTCAGGTCATGATCCCAGGGTCCAGGAATCGAGTCCCACATTGGGCTTCCTGCTCGGTGGGAAGCCTGCTTCTCCCTCTCCCGCTCCCCCTGCTTGTGTTCCTGCTCTCACTATCTGTCTCTCTGTCAAATAAATAAATAAAATCTTAAAAAAAAAATTGTAAAAATAAAAGCAAAAATTGCCATTTTTCCCCCTGTTGCTCCATTTCTACTGCAACCATCTCAATTCACCCTCTTACCTCAAATGACTTGTCTGAACAATTTTTTTTTTAAGATTTTATTTATTTATTTGACAGAAAGAGACAGCGAGAGAGGAAACACAAGTGGGGGGATGGGAGGGGAAGAAGCAGACTGCCTGCTGAGCAGGGAGCCCAATGCGGGGCTCGATCCTTGGACCCTGAGATCATGACCTGAGCCGAAAGCAGACGCTTAACGACTGAGCCACCCAGGCGCCCCTTGCCTGAACAATTTAATCTGTCTACTAATTTCTTAGCTCTGACTTGTTCTCACTTCCCACCCTTAGTCCATCCCCCTCACTGTCCCCGTAGTGATCTTTCTAATAAGATATCTGCTTACCCTCTGTCTGCTTGAAATCCAATCATTGCTTCTGATTGCCTAAAATACAAAATCTAGACTTTGCTGGGCATGGCCACCTAAAAGTAGGCCCAGCCTATCTGCCACTACTAAATACACATCCCCCGGCCACCCTTCTCCGTCTTCTCAGAACACACCATGCTTTTGCTCATGTGGGCCCTTCCATCTAGAATGCCCATCTTTGCCTCTGCCTGGTCAATGATCTCACTTCCTCTCTGAAGCTGTCTTCAATATCCTGAGGCAGTTCATCACTCCTTTTTTGCTCTCTGGGGATTTTATATGGAATAATAGTTACTATTTCTTGAGCGCTTACTAGGTACCAGGCACTGTGCCTAACTAAGCATCTTACAGACGTGATCTCATCTAATCTGCCCAGCAGCCCTATGAGGTCATGTGGCACTTTTCACACTGTCTTCTCATTCATTGTTTTCATGTCCGCATCCTCACTGGAAGAGACCAGTCTCTTCATCTTATCAGAACCACCTCCTCACATAATGCCTGATCAAATCAGGTGCTCAGTAAATGTTTGTTGAGTGAGAGAATGATGGAATGAGTCAAATGAAATAAATACAATATGGTGCCTTAAAAAGGAACTTATCGGAACTGGCTTCCCATACATGTATGTGGCCAGAGCCTGGAATATGCTTCCTAATCCAAATATCTCTCTCCTTGCCCCTGGCATGCTGCCTGAAATCCCCATGGTCCTCAAGAATGCCCTGTCTTTATTTTTTTATTCTTACTGCCACCAACCTAGATTGTCTTGCCTCTTATTTGATCTACTCATCTACTTTCATATCTTCTCCTCTTTAGTTACTAAGTCACTTTGGAAGAGATTGACCTTCCTAAAATACTCATCTGATTATATATTTCTCTTGCTCAAAAACTTTATATTTTCTAGAAGGAATCCTTTTGTCTGAGTTTCAACAATCTACAATCTGGCTTCAACTTGATCACACACTACGTTTTGAATCCTGTGGTCCAATCAGTCTGAAATAGTTGCCATCCTCACCCCATGCCTTTGTTCATTATGCTTTCTTTGCCTGTCTGGGCTGCTTCTTATCCTACATTGTCTATAAAAGTTTTATCCCTTCCATAATGCTTTCCTGGAACACTCCAGTCAGGAAAGTTCTCTGGTGTTTCCTACGTGCTCATTACACTGACAGAGGGCTTCTGAGAGACATTTTATGTTTTAGACATCTCCCATATTCAAAAGCTAGCTCTTTGAGGGATCAAGTTGACCTTCTTGTTAACTGCCCACCTCATAAATGATCCCCTTTTAAAATAAGTGCTACCTCCCCATGTAGGGATGAGTCCTCTAAATGTGTTTCTGCCATATTACCCTGCATCTCAGAGCATAGGTGAATAGATCAGAATGGGCAGTGATGGGCCAGAGCTTCTCAGAGACTATGTACGTGTAAGAAAGGAGCCTCGGAGCTTGGACCTATCTCCTAAAAGAGAAACTGGGCCACCAGTAGTGATTTATCTTGAGGCCGTGTCCCTCCAAAGGGACCATTTTGTTCATATAAGAAAAGGGCAGCCCTCTAGGTAGATGCAACTTCAAGTGAGGGGTACAAATACATGTGGTGACCTTGAGTAGCCATAGTATTTTCCTTCATAGCTGCAGAGGCAGAGAGAGCTGGGTTGCAGAAAGAGCAGAATAGACCAAATATCTGGGGGTGAAGGTGAGGGGAAAGAATTAACCAAAAATCTGCAGAGAAGCAGCAGTCTATGAGAATTAGAGCATGAGCCAGCAAGAGAGGAAGGGGCAGAGGGAACCAGGGTCTGGTTCCTGTCAGCTTTCCCGATACTGGGTGCAGGCCCTGAAGAGACCCCATTCCCTGTGGTGTTCCTGAGAAAATGCAGGATTCTTTCAACAAACTCATTTTTAGCTCAGGGGCAAAATGAGTCGTACTTTAGTCATCCAATCCCACAAGGCTGAGAGTAGCTTTTTAGAGAAACTTGCCATGTCAGGCATCTGGTGGATACATGTCTTGAATGTAGGTTGGATGGCTGGTTCTTAACCTTAGCTGTACACTAAAAACACCTGAGATGCTTTTAAACCTATCAATTCCTGCATCCGACTGCAGACCAATTAGATTCAAATTGGCTTGGATGGGAGGGCTCATGCATTTGGTATTTTTAAAAGTTTCCCTGATGATTCTAAAATGTCATCAGGAATTATCACAGGCTAGATGCTATAAAAGCACAGACACGAGGGAACACTGGTAGCATATTAAGCAATTTTTATTGGTTAACTCATCTGTGTTGAATCGCTTATCAGATTACACAGTCTGGGAAAAGACTCGGACAGTAGGCTAGGGTCAGGGTAGCATCAGAGCAGTGGAAAAAAAAAAAGTGTATAAAAAGGAGGACAGGCATTGACTTTAGTCCAATTTTTTCAAACCGCAAATTATTAGGGCACTGGAGTAGTTGCATAAACCATAGCTGATCAAGCAGAAGGAAATGGGTTACCCTGACCTTTTTTAATCTCCCAAATGTGGAATTCTTTTAAAATGATACTTTATGAAAACAATATTTTGCTAAAATGTTAAATCGAAAGTCAAGCTTAATGGTATGACACACGGTCTCTAGATCAGCATGATAAAGTTATCATAGCTTAATGTCCAATTATTACTTCTATATTAATAATTTAATTATTAATGTAATTAGGAGGCAGCATGAACTTGCAAGAGTACTAAAATGTATCTCTTTAAGGCTCTATGCCCAGGGGCACCTGGGTGACTCGGTCAGTTAAGCGTCTCCCTTCTGCTCAGGTCATGATCTCAGGCTCCCTGCTCAGCGGGGAGCTTGCTTCTGCTGCTCCCCCTGCTTGTTGGTTCTCTCTCTCTCTCAAATAAATAAATAAACCTTTAAAAAAAGGGGGGGCTATGCCCAATTTTCCTACATTGTTAGATCAAGTATGACTTCATCTTGCTTAAAATGTTGTTGGTACATTTCTTAATGCATTCTGACTGGTATTGTAGCTAGTTTAGTGTTCATCTTTTGTCTTCTACTTAGAAGCTCCTTGAGAGAAGCAATCATGGTATTGATCTTTGTATCCTTCATAAGGAACCGTCTTCAATTAGGGCATTTTAGTTTTATTTGTTGTATTAAGCTATGTCATTTAGGCATAAATTCTACTGCCAATAATAGTAAACCGTACCACAATGGCTTAAACAATGGGTTTATTTTTCTCTTATAGCAAGAAATCTAGATACAGGCAGTCCGAGGTTGGCATGGCTTCTCAAAGAAGCCGTTAAGGATACACATTCTTTTCATCTCTCTGCTTCTGCTATCCTGACTGTTTAGCTTGTCACCTCATGGATATTAAGATGGCTGCTACAGGGGCGCGTGGGTGGCTCAGTCGGGTAAGCGTCTGCCTTAGGCTCAGGTCATGATCTCAGGGTCCTGGGATCCATTCCAGAGTAGGACTCCCTGCTCAGCGGGGAGTCTGCTTCTTCCCCTCCTTCTGCCCCTCCCCCCACTTGTGCTCTCTCTTGCTCACTCTGCTCTCTCTCTCTCAAATAAACAAATAAAAAAATCTTAAAAAAAAGATGGCCACTACACCTAAGCATTACATTTTTTGCAGGCAAGAAGGGGACAGGTTCAAAAGGCTCAAAGGATCATTCTGTCCCAATCTCTCCTTTTAAAAAGCTTTTATGGAATCTCAGCCATTAACACTTCATTGGTTAGAACTGGATCCATGTTTATCCCTGGACCAATACCAGAAAATAATTAGGGAGAAAGGAATTATGGATTGGAGTTGAGTCAGACAGAAACATTCACGTAAGGTTTGATTCTAATTAGAACCAAAAGGAATGTTACCGATTATTTGGCACCTCCTCTGAGATCTGACAGATGAGAAAACTGTGGGCCAAAAATGTCTGAGATCTACAGCCAAGTAATGGCAGGACAGAGAATAAACTAAGATCCAGCTATCACCATTCCTAGGCCATTGAACATTCCATACATCCACATACAGATCATTAGAATGTCCTACATTAGAAGCTACGAGTCATTTCCA